CGGTGGGCACAGGGGGCTTTTGGCATTGCCCCTGCATGGACTGTGAACAGGGCAGCATTCAGAGCAGGGTCCTTTGGATGCTGCCAGCTGGCTGAAGCCCAGAGCTGCTGGGAAGATAACGCAGTCAAGCACCTCCACTGCAATCGTTCTGTGCATGAGACAAAACTCTTCCTCAAAAAATGAGGAAGGCTGATGCTCAGCCCAGAAGCATGTTTGTGTGCTTGCTTGGCTGTATCTGGTTTTTCTGTTCCTGTGACATCTCTTCCTTGCATGCCAATCTTGACCACGTACCTTGTCTATCCTATTCTGGTTTCTCTGGGTACTCTTGCTTTACCTGCAGGCTGCTGTGTAAGGAGCTCGGCTCTTGTGCAGCTGTCTCAGGCAGTAGTTATGCTTTCCAGCTTCCATGAGACTTCCCGGTTGTACTCACTGTAGCTGTTCTTTCTGTAACTCCAAAGCTCCTCCCCAGTAGGAACTCATCTTTAGGCCCTTTTTTACCTAATGGGTTAGGAAATCGAGAAGGACAGGGCGGTCACTGCCCCAAGGATATGAGGAGGAATGAGCTGGGTGGAAGAAGCAGGAATCGGGTTAGCTCAGTGCCAACACTGCTCACCTGCAGACTTTGTTTTTCCCTGAGGTATCTGTATGGTGTGGGATGGCAATGAAGGAGGCATGGGATTGGTTCTGTCTGAGCTGCAAAGGGAGGTGTGTGCCCAGGGGATGTTTCTTCCCTAGCCCACTGTTTTCCAGAGGTTTTCTACCCCTGACAGGCTTGTGGGCCCAAATGCAAGGATAAGTTGCTGGCTCTCCATCTTGTCTGTGGCCATACTCATGTCAGCTGCAGCTTTAGGCTGGAAGCCTCTGCTGCAGGTGGGGCTGGTGCCCTGCTGTCCTGGCTTTCAGGAGGTGCCATTCCCAGCCTCTACAAGAAGTTTGATTTAGGGGGAATCAATCTCCTAAGCTATCCTCCCTTTTACAGCTGGCTAGAACAGCTGGGCTGCAAACAACAGGGAATTGTCAGATTATTTTTTTTTTCCTCTCCCATATCCAGTCTTGAATGCCTGATGGGGCAGCAAACTCCTCCATCTGTCCTCAGTCCCCCTGGGTGGGTAATAATAGGTGCTTCATACAGAAAAATTCAATTAGACTTGACAAGAGATGTATGCTAGTGTTTCCTTGCCAAGGTCCCACCTTGCTCTGTTTGGTTCCTCTGCAACAGACTTGCTGTAGAATTTGTTAGGAAAAGAAAAACCCTTTTTAAGTAGAAGGGTGTTTATTGCCAGGTCTGGCTCTGGTGGGCTCTGTAGAAAAGAAAATTAAAGTGGGATCTTGTATAACTGCAGCCACCCAGATGCAGTTGGACATCAGATGGCAGCTGCTGAGAGCAGGAAAGGGCTGTGTCAGTGGGATCTTGTATAACTGTAGCCACCCAGATGCAGTTGGATGGCATCTGATGATGGCAGCTGCTGAGAGCAGGAAAGGGCTGTGTGGAGTGCTGTACCTGGGGCTTCTCTTGGTGCCTCTGAGTATTAAAGCTGCCAGGGTGAGAGGTGTGTTCACGTCAGTGGCTTCCGTCTTAAAACTCACTCTCTCCAGTTCTCATCATCCAGCTGGTTTGTTCCAATGTGGGGTGTTTTGGGGGACATTTCCATTCTTTGTAGCCCACTACTAAGCGCAGCTGTGATGTACCCCAGAGATGGCTGTGGTGCACTCTGGGTTTGGTGTGCAAAGGAAACGGGAGCACTTCCTGCAGCTCTTGTTGCCATGTTCGGGACTGGGAAGAGACCCTTTTGAGTGGTTCTGGGTTTGTTTTTCTCCAGCACAAATGCTCCAGGCACACTCAATTTTTTTGTTTTAATGCTCTGATTTCTGGGTAATGAGAATAGCTGTTATAAAGTACTTGTACAGACAGAGGTCTGTCCCCAGCACACGTCTGCATTGATCATCAATGTTCCCAAAAGCTACTTGTGTAGTACCACACAGACACTTGCTGCTGTTGGCACAACTGGAAGCAGAAGGAACCCCCATTTGAAGCTGTGTGTGATAGAGCCCTTCAGCAGCTTGGAGCTTTAATACATCTAAATCCTTTTGTCACAGTTGTGTTGACTTTCTGTAGTTCTATGAAATTGCATCGTCTCAATTTCCATGAGGTCTGTAACATGTGAGAACCCATTTAACCTCGTGCGCTCTGTTAGTCTTGGACAGATGAGTTGACATAGTCTTGGAATTGGATCTGTGTGTATGGTGCAGGTTTCAGTGTGTTCAGACTTCTGGTATTTGATCAAAATTCAAAAGGCATTTGGAGCAAAATATTTATGTGAGCAAGATTATTTTTTTTTCTGAAGTACCCAGGCATTCACTCGTACTGGGACTCTAGCACTGATGTGGCTGAACACAGGGGGTAATCACCCCGCTGAGGTCCACAGCAGCTTTTGCAAGAAGCCCTGTGGAGCTGTGAGGCATTGAGTGTCTTGGAAGGCAGCTCTGGAGGTGAGTGGGAAGGTCAGGACAGCTTTGCAGGATGCCCCCGACAGCCAAGGTGAACATCAGGCCTACTGGCGTGAGGGCAAAGTGTGGGGCGGGAAAGCCCCTGGGCAGCTGCATCCACTGTAACAGAGCTGCGGGGAGGCTGTGTGTGTTAAGTAGTTCAGCCTAGATAAGCCTAAAGTGGGGACACAATATCTGAAGGCTTAATCCTGAGGTTTATCCTGGCTATGAGGTGGTGGCTTAGGAAAGGTTCAGTTTAACAATTGCATCATGATGTGGAATATTGATCCCCTTGTCGTACTGATTCCTTAGGGACAGACAGAGGCTTAATTTCTTCTGTGGGGTGGAGAGTTGGCAGCAAGTTGAATATTAGCTGGCAACTTTGTCAGCTGAGTTAAAGGCTGCAGTGAATAAATCTGCATTTTGTGTCTGTGTGCAGAGCTAACGGAGGGGGAAGAGTTAA